GGGCCACTCGAGTCTCAGGACTGGCAGCCCAGAGCCCGAGCTGGCCTGGCAGGACCCCACCCCTGCAGTGACAGCCGTGGAGGGCCCGTGTCCTGGGGCTTTGGGCTGGGGCTGATGGGCTCCCTGAGCAGCGTGGGGGCCTAGGGTCTGCACGCTGCCTCAAGCCCTGCCAGGGACCAAACCTGCTCTGCTCCCTTCCAGGACATATGCAGAGGCTCCCACTGAGAACAGAGACCGACAAGCTACAGGACAGGGAGCACAGCCGCCTCAGGCCCAAGCAACGCAGACCCCACCCTGCTCAGAACCACAGGGCAGTCAGCTACCACGCATGAGGACGGGGGTGGGGTGCCCAGTCTGCCCCCACCTAGGAAATGCCAGGATCCCTGAGAGAGACAGGGAAGGGAAGGAGAGGGCGGCGTGTGCCAGGTCCTCTATAAATACCAGTGCGAGGGCGGGTGCCAGGGGAGGCTGAGACTCCACCCACAGGGCAGCGCCTCAATCCCAGGCCTTACATAACCGACACAGGGCTCTGGCCTTCCCAGGGACAAGAAGGCCAAGAAGGCGCCTGCCAGAAGGGCATGTGGCGTGGGCATCGTCCTGGACCCACCGTGCACTCAGTGCCCAGGTTCACCCAGTGCACAGCTGGGGCTGGGGGATGAAAGCCCTGCTGGGGGGTGGGGCGGGGTCTCACCACACTCGGCCAGACCAGGGGGCTGCACAGACCCCTGGCCAGGCCTGTTCTGAGTCACCAGAGAGGCCCACGGACGGCCTGGCAGCAGATGCCAGACCACAGAATGAGAGGAGCCCGGGGCCATCACGGGACTCAGCCCCAACCACCAGCTCCCGACACTGCACGGACAACTACAAGCCTCAGGCAGGGGAGGGAAAAGGACGTTCAGAGCTCCCACCTGAGCAGTGGGAACCCTGACAGCACAACTGAGGAAGGGCCTTCCAGGGCTCTGGTTCCGGCCACTTCTAGGACACAATGGCCTCGCTGCCCTCTGTCTGACACAATCTCCTCTGTCGAGCCCAGCCTTAGGCACCCGGATGCCCCCGGTGCCCTGAATCAGCATGCGTCCCTGTCACCCAAAGAACAGGACCAGCAGGAGCCACCGGTGCCAACCGCCCAGCCTGGCACTCGGGCCTCCCTGGCGAGGGTGACACTGTGCTCCGTGCCCAGCCTTCCTTCCCCATCCCCTGCCCTCTTCCCACAGGAAGAGGAACCGGAGCTCTAATTACATGTCCTAGAAAGAAATCCCACTTTCATCTGGAGTAAACTGACAAGCTGTGCTTGGCACTGCCCGCTGGGGAGCCGCCGGGCCGCACCAGGAGTCTCCTCCATCCCCATGGACCACGAGGGTGGCAGCAGGCTGAGACGCGACGGCGCGTGCACCCCGGGCTGTAGCCTTCCAAGGCCCGGCCTGTCACCAGTGAGACGGGGCTTCCACAGGGCCTGGCAGGGCGGGGACACGCAGAGAGCCAGGGGAGGGCAGGGAAGGCAGGCAGGGAGCGCTCAGGCCCGCCCTCCAGGTCGCCCCACTGCGCCCCAGCAGGCCACTGGCACAGCAGCCGCACTCCATGCCCTCCCGGGCCTCGTCCTGTGCCCGCACACTTGACCCCACCCTCTATCCTCAGCCCATCCCCACCCGCCGGAGCTGCTTGGCCTGGTCCGAACCCAGGGAATGTCCGCAACCCCCAGGCCTGGGTCCTGATGCCCACGCCCACCGTGCATCTGCATGGAGGAGGCGACGTCCCCGAACAGGAACTTGTCGACTTGGTCACTGCTGTGTCCCCGGCAACCTGGACGAGGTGGGCAGCAGCAGGCGCCCTCGACACTCTGTCCCTCGGAAGGACTTCGCCTAGGACCACTGGATGGTGAGGGCGGAGCGGGTTGGAGGGTCCCACTTGCCACCCACTGGTTCTGCCCTTCCAACTCTCCCTCCTTTCTCTGCTCTGCAATTCAGGCGCCTACATTTCCCCCAACCCTAAATCTTCAGCGATACACTCTTCCAAACCTGATGGACAACCCCTGGTCTGGGAGGACTCCCCCATCCCTCTGCTGACTCACCATGCCCACCCCAGGCTCCTGTTCTGCATGGCGCCAGCAGCTACGCACTTGTCCCTCGTGGCCCTGTGCTCAGACAGGTTGTGAGGTAAGCTCCCAGCCTGACATCCTGACCTCCACCTTCCCCCAGCTCTGCACAGCTCCCTGCCTGACTCTGCTGCAAAACTCAGTCGGACGACTGCCACCACACCCTCACCCCACACATGTCCTGCCCAGACCACCCTGGGCTGCACCCGAGCATCCCACCACGTCAGCCTCGCCTCGTTGAACAGAACAGGCTCCTGGGAACATGATCTCCATCAGCATCCCTGGGTCTCCACTGCTTCCTGCCAGTCCCTGACCATCGGCTCTGGTGCTGGGCGTATCTCCATCCCGAGAGCCCAGCCAGGACCTCAGGTAGGCCTCTCTCCAGCAAGGGGCAGCCTGCACCCTGGGCTCTTGGTCCCTGCACTGCACGGTAGCCCGAGAACAAGGCACACAGCCTGCCCTGACTCTCAGGACCCACTGCCTCCCGGTGCCTGAGCCGTAGTCCTCTCATATGCTCCCACACAGGTCAGGTCTTGAGCATGCGACCCAGGAGCACCATGAGAGAGCAGGCAATGCGGCTGAACAGGAGGACGAGAGAAGGATCCAGAGCACACCCAGGTGCATCCAGGGCTCCTGTCAAGGGCTCAGGCTGAGTGCGCTGAAGAGATCAGCTGGCCTCGGTTCCCGTCCTCAATACCCCAGGGACCAGCAATGAACAAGGAGGGATCTGTGAGTGGATGAGCAGACAAAGCATTGGCAGAGAAGCAGGAAAGCAAGCAGAAGGGACAGATGGACAGGAGGGACAGAGGAACACAAGGGCATACTCCTCTGCTGCCCTCTGCACCTTTGTGCACAGCGAGGCCCGAAGCCAGTGGGCTCAGAGCCCTGGTTACACTTGGGAAAGGAGTGGGTGGGGCAGAACCAGCCCCGCAGAGTGGGGGGGCAGGATCTGGGAACCTTCAACAGAGCCAGGGACCAGCCCCTGTCCTCAACCCTAGCTTCTTCTCTCACAAGGCCCAGGGTCCCCAGAACACCCCTGGGACCTCTGTGGGCCCCAGTCCAAGCCCCACCCCCCTCCTCAGGGCTGCCATCCCAGCAGAACTTACTGCAGTTACTGCAGGGTTCAAGCGCAGAAGGGGCAGCCAGGCAGGCGTGGTGAGCCAGGCTAGAGGCTTCCCCCGGGCAGCAGCAGCATGGATCCCCTCAGGCAGCTCCCACACCTCCACTCCAGCCACAGAAGCCTGAGGGACGCTGCTGGCCGTTGGGACCGGATCAGTCACCAGGCAACAGCCAAGGTGGTGTCTGCCTTCTCCCCCCGGCCTTCTGAGCAGCAATTAGCTAAGCCCTAATTAAAAACAACAGAGTAACGGGAAAGGCTGTGCCTGCCTCGCACTGCATCGTGCTGCTCAGGGAGTTGGGGACAGGGTTCTTCCTTGGGCCCTAGGGACCAGCACCTCCCCTCCACATACAGACAGACACACAGGTCCCCACATCCCCACGTGCCCAATCAAAGGGCCCGGTGTGGCTCTGGGGTACAGCACTCCATCTGGGGTTCCCCTCACCAGGCAGCAGCACCACAGAGGCAGAGACCAGAGGCCAGGACACTGGCCAGGAAGAGGGGATGAAGAGGCTGCAGGAGGGCGAAGGGGAGACAGACGGAGAAAGGAACTGAGCGGGGGAGCCACAGTGTCTGCCTCGTTCCTCTCACTGGAGCGGCCACCAGGAAGGGGAGCTGCCTTGGGTGCCCCACCCAGCATAGGCTGCGCCCCCACCTGGGAGCCTCTGCTGGCTCTCACAGAGGGACCCAGAATTGCTGACACACCGTGGGGGCCTAGAGAGGCACCCCAGCCTCCCACTCAGACCCTGCGGCCCCTCCCTCGCCCCTGATACTTTGCCATTGGGGTGGGCCCAGGGGACACCCTGGAAAGTAAGACCCCATTCTCATCCTCTGAGACTTGCGTCCAGGAGAGAGACAGATATAAACAGTGGCTCACGGATGCCCCACTCAGGGGCCCCGGACGTGGGCGTGCTGATCCGCCAAGGGTGCCCTCCCTGCCAACCACCCAGATCTCACAGGGCCACAGAGGGCTTTCCGCAAACCCCAAGCCAATGTTACCCCTTCTCGGGCAGACAGCGTCCTTGGCAGGGCACCGAGCCACGTTAATGCAATGTGCCCTGGGTGGGCCATGCCGCCCTGAGGGACACAGAGCTGAGGCCGCTCCCCAACACGCCCTCCTCCCGTGGGGTCCCAGACCCAAGGACCCCACAGTCCCCTCCCTCATCAGCCCCAGCACTGCCCCACACCAGGCTGCATGGATGGGGACAGAGGCTCTGTGACCCCACAGTGCAGCCAGCTCCTCCTCACCATCTGGGCCCTGAGCTCCAGGACCAGGAGGCCGCAGGGAAAAGACATGGCCGGCCTGCCCCAGGGCCTCAATTCTCAGACCACAAAGTCTCTAAAGTGCCACCCCAGGTGGCAGGCTGAACCCCAGACTTCTTGGCTGCTTAGGAAACTGGGAGCTGCTCGTGATGAGGATGCACTCAGGAGAAAGTGCTGGGCGGGACATGTGAAGCAAGGGCCATCCGTCCAGGAGCAGGAGCCAGACAGGGGACACCCCGCCCTGACAAGGGCAGCTGTGGGCCCCTGGGTGATGTCAAGTGCCCTCCCAGGCCACACCCTTCCACCCGCAGACCTAGCCACCACCCAGCAGGAAGCTTTCAGGCTACACTGGCCACAGGATCCAGCAGCCGTCAGCTGTGAGCTCTGCGGGATGCATCTACTGAGGACAGGGCGCTTCACGTCAGCCTCTGTGGAGCGTGCAGCACTCCCACCCGGGGAGAGCACGGAGACCTCGGTCTCAGACAGGGCCCAGGGACACCACCGTGCACACAGGGCCTGCCCACCTACCCTGTGAGGACCACCACGAAGTCCATGACGTTCCAGCCGTTCCGAAGGTAGGAGCCCTTGTGGAAAACGAAGCCCAGAGCGATGATCTTGATCCCCGCCTCAAAGCAGAAAATGCCAATGAAATAGGGTTCTGTGTCATCCTGAGGAGGAGCAAAGAGCCACAGTCACCTCTGCACCTGGGGCCGTAGTCAGGACAGCAGGCCCCAAGGTGGACCATCCTGACCCTCCCCGAGGCCCCCTGACATCTCCAGCCCAGAGTCTCCACTGCCAGCCTGCATGTGCTTGTTTGCCAAGGCCCCTGCAAGAGAGCACCCCCATGTCAGCATCCTGGCGCCCCAGTGTGTGCTCCACCCCACAGAGCCTTGAGGACTGCCCCACTGTACCACGCAGCCCTGCTTAGGGAAGGAAGTGTAGACACCCGCAGGGTGAGGATATAAATCTTTTTTGCATTAACCACAGCAACCTCTCCAACATCCTTCACAGTACTCCCAGTCCCAAGAAAATAGAGGGGCTGGGGAGAGATGACAGCAGAGTCCCTGGACTGCCCAGTCTGACCCAGCCTCTGTCCACTGTACAAGGTTGCCTAAGTAACACTAGATACTGCCTAGAACTCAGTCCTGGACCTGCCTTGGCAGTCAACAAACTCCTAGATAAGCAGAACATGCAAATCCTTGTGAAAATAAAAAAAAAGTCTAGCACTCAAGCAAAACCACCTGCCCAGCAGGGTCCCAGGTCCTACCACCTCCAGGACAGGCTGGCCTGAGCCCAGGGGCTGTGACATTCACTCTCAGGCTCAGACCCAGGCAGGGTTCGTTGGACACCAGGGCGGGGCAAGAATTGCTCAGCTAGATTCTGAGAAAGGACTCCAGCTGGAGGAAACTGACCCCAGGGCCGAGGAGGGGACCCTAGTAAAGCCCCGTCCTCCGCCCCAACCACTTTTCAGCCAGGGTCATGGAGCTTTGTGGAGCTTCGTGCAGGGCAGACCCTTCTAGTCTGGGCCGAGCCTGGAGCGTGGGGAGAAAGGTTCTGGGAGAGGCCGGCATGGCAGGTGGGCAAGCGCACTGGTGTGGGAGGCCAAGGCACAAAGTGCCCTAGCTAGACGTGATGAGGACTGACGCCTGCCCGCCCTGGGAACCAAACTCAGGACCTTGTGCTTGCCAGGCAGGCTCGGCACCACTGAGCTACATCCCTGGCCCCAGGAAATAGAGCTTTAAGAAGCAGACTGGCTGCCACAAAGGAGGCCACCGGAGTGTGCTCCCTCCAGACCGTGGGAGCCTGGGTCCTTCAGAGAGCCGCTCTGCCCTGCGAGGGAGGGAGGGGCCGGGCAGCAGCCTGGACACCAGCTGCAAAGCGCTGCCAGCTCCCACGGGAAGCACTGACCACTGCATGGCCTCGGCGCATCTTGCCCACCGTGGAGGCAGCCCACAGCCTGCCTGGCAACACCAACTGCTACTGAGGGGCCTGGCGCTCCTGTTCTGCTACCCTCCCCCCATGCTGACTCACTGCAGCCACGACAAGGCCCCTGGGGGCTGCACACACAGTCCCTTGGCCTCCGGGCTCCTGCTCTCTTGTACTCAGGAAAGTCTCCTCTCCCCGAGGGTTAGAGCTGCTGACCGGCTGCTCTACGGGAACTGCTAGCCCCAAAATACAGGGCTCACAGACAGCTCATGTACAGGAAAATAGCAAAGCAGCTAGGACCACTCCCAAAGAAGCCCACTAGGAAGGAGGCCAGTCTGACCCTAACCCCAGCCCTCCCCTGGACCATGCAAGATGTGCACACAGCCAGGGCTGGACAGGCAGTGGATTCAAGCTAGGACTCTGGCTAAAGGCAGCTCTGGAAATGGAAGCAGGGAGAAGGAAGCTGGGAAGACCACACCACCGGAGCCAGCCCATTCTCCTGGGTTGCAGCTCTGTCCTCCCCAAGCACCCTCAAGGGCTGAGGTGCGGGCTGGACTGGGGTCAGTCAGAAAGGCACTTTCTGCTCCCTTTCCCAAAGGAGACCCCCTCCCCCTGAGTTAACCCAGACACTCTCTCTAGGCAGAAGCCTGTACAGCTAGGCACCAGGTGGGACCATGAGAAGATGCCTGAGCCCACCCACCACACACGCTGGCTTCTCTGCACCTACCTCCAGCCCTGACTTCCTTGCTATTCAGGCCTGAACCCCAGGATCCTGTCACTCCTGCCCTCTTTCCTGGCTTCTGGGGCTGATGCCCACCATCAGGACAGAGCAGAGGGGCCTCTACCAGTGGAGGAACCTGAGGCCCAGAGGAGGGGAGGGACCCTATCACCTGTGCCTTCTGTGGTCCCCAGGAAACTCCATCTCCAGGTGCCCACCCTGGATGGTGCCTACCCACTCCTGGGCACCACCAAGGAAGCTTTACTGTCTCCCACAGGACAGGGCCAGGGCAACTGGTGTAGGGCAGGCCACACCAGAAAGCAGCAGAGCACCCGTTCCATACAGAGCCCTTTAATGCCTCATCTCCCACAAGCTTCTGCACTCTGAGCCCTCACCCTGACCCCAGGCAAAGGCCTGGGGCAGTTCAAGAGCTGGGGCTGGGCAAAGGGGTGCTGACTCTAAAACAACACCCTCCCTCTCCAGAGAGCTGGCCAACCCACCTTTACCCTTGCCCTCTGCTATCCGAGAACCAATCCTGGGTGTCCTGAGCAGACCTCACCCTGTCCTCATTATCACAGCTCTGTGCTTCGGTGCAGCCACCACAGGGTCTGGGGAGCAATCGGCAGGAAAGTGGGGGTAAAATGACTCAGACTGTTTGGAAAGAGTGGTGGGCCTGAGGGGAAAGGGCTTCCGTCAGTCCTGGAAGATGGTGGGAAGGAGAAATCACCCAGATTCAGCTCTGCGCCAAGGCACCTGCCAGCCCTGCAATGAAAGTGGACAGCCACCTCCCTCCCTGGGCACCATAGCCCTTCTCCTTCCTGTCTTCACCAGGATGAATGCCCTCGCCGCCTCTAGATTTAAAACTTAGATCAAAGTCCAGCTGGGCACTCGGTGGCTCGAGGCCCAGGACAGACAGCTGATGGCCACCACGTCCTCACATCAGGGGCTGAGCTGGCCCTGGAGGGAGGTGCCAGCTATGGAGGCTCCATCCCACCTCTCTGCTACAGTAGGAGAGCTGCTCAGCCAGGCCAGACCCTACAGGGCTCCCACCGCCCACCCTCGCCCTGCTAGCACTCACCAGGCGCTCGGACATGGGCGTCTTGTCGCCGTCAGGGAGGTGCTGCTCCAGAGCCAGCACAATGCAGTTGGCGATGATGGTGGCCAGGATCATGTACTCGAAAGGAGTGCGTGGGTTAAGGACCAACCAGGAAGCCGGGGGGGGGGGGACGAGCACCAGGCCCGCGCCCACCCTCCCGGGCCAGAGCTCCCAGAACCTGAAAGCGCAGGCCTGGCCTCAGCAGTCAGGAGCGCCTGCCCCACACGCCTGGGCGGTCGTCAGCACCGGGGACAGCGCCCGGCCCGCTCGGCCGGCCTGGGCCGCGCAGGCGCACACGGTGCCCAGGCACACAGACCTACGTGCCCACCCAAGAGCAGGAACACACGTGTCCCGCGAGCCCTGGCGCACGCACGCGCAGCACCTGCAGCCGGGGCGCGCACGGGCCGCGTCCACAGGGCGCCCACGGGTGCCCTCCAGGTCGGCCACGCGCTCCCGCCCATAGCAGGCTCCCAGGCCCGGGGAACGAAGGGCGCGGGGGCCACGGGGCACGGGCGTTCCGCCCATTAGCCCACCCGCGCGTCCCCTTCCACCCGTCCCCCGCGACCACGCACAGTCGCGCCCCGCCCCGCCCCCTCCTCGCCGCCCCGCCCGCGGCCGGCAGGATATGGCCACTCGGTGATGCGCTTGGCGTATTTTCGGACGACGTTGTCCTCGCTGAAGACGAAGAGCGAGCGGTTGACGGTGAAGCAGTTCTGCTTGACCGGGATGGGGTTGTACAGTGCCATGGTCCGCGCACGCTGCGCGATCGACTGCTTGTAGAGCACCCGCTGGCCGGGCTGCAGCCCTCCGGGGCCTGGGCCGCCCGCGCCCCCGGCCCCGCCGCCCCGGGCCCGCTCCCCGCCGCTCGCGCCCCCATAGCGGCCGCCCAGCTCGTCCCCGAAGCGGACCATGGCTCCCGGGGACCGCGCGCATCCCCGGCCCGCTGGCCCCGGAAGGTAAGGCGCGGGGCGCAGGGCGCTAGAGCGGAGCGGCCACGAGCTGCGAGACCGAGACCGCACCGGACCTCGCCCGGCTGGCCGCGCCACGCCCTATAAGCGGCCGGTCACGTGGCGGTGCGCGGCGAATCGGCGC